CAAGGTCAGCAGTTCGAAACTACCAGCTGCTCTTTGGGACAAAGATGAGGCTTTCTGCTCCCGTAAAGATTTACAGCCTCAGAAACCCTGTTCAGGGTCGCTATGGGTTGGAACTGACTCGACGGCACTTAACAATAACAATATATATGTATGAATTTGTGTATGTGTATTATGGGTGAGAATTGACTCGATGGCACTTAACAACAACAACAACATGCATATATATGCTTCCAAAAGTTTGTGGAAAACAAACATATATATACTTTCAAAAGTTTAACGAAAAAAATATATGTGTGTGTGTTTCTGTTAAGTCCCTGTGAGTTGGTTCCAACTCATAGTGACCCTGTATAGAATTTCTGAGGTTTGAATGACCGACCTTGCAGTCAGCAGTCCAATGCTTGTCTTACTGAGACACATCAAGACTCATCGCTTCACACCAATCATATTCCACCTAGGTACTAGGAATATGCATAGTAATGAATAGGGACATACAGTCAGAGACAGAAAAAGAGATACAGATGTAGATATGGCTCTGTATCGTGGGGTGGTTCTGACTCATAGTGACCCTGCATAGGGTTTCTGAGGCTGTAAATCTTTACAGGAGCAGAAAGCCTCATCTTTTTCCCACAGGATGGCTGGTAATCCTTGAGGTTAGCAGCCCAACTCATAACCACTGCACTACCAGAACTCCTTAGATATAGATATAGAAAAGTACAATCTGTTCAAGGGACAAAACTGGTGTTCCTTGTTTCTCTGGAAAAAAGAAGTTACAATCGGCAAATTAAACAAACAAAAAATAATGTGAGATGAAAAAATAGTAACAGAAACAGCATAAATGTCTACATGTCTCTTTTCTTTGAGAGTTTTTTCCATCCACTTTCACATAATAGCAATCATAAAAGGTGGTTAGAGACAGATCCTCTCCCCTAATTACAACTGATGAAAATAAAATTCAGAGGGTTTCATGATTTGCCTAAGGAGCCAGAGAAGGGGTGATCAGGTAGCCAGGTCTTCCAGCTCCCATTCCAGTGTGGTTTCTGTTACCACAACAAGGAAAATTAGCATGCTAGGTCTTCTCCAGGTTAATTGAGTGTGAATACAAATATCAAGTTATTTTCTTGGAAATTAAAGCAGGGGCAAACATCAGCTTTTTAGTGGGCTCATTGCAGCTTTCAGAGGAGGACTGCATCGAGATAACATTATTATCATGACCAGAATGGAAAGGAAACTGCTTGGGCGTCTTGTCGTATTTGGACTTCTTTTGACAAATGATGCCAAGTCGGTTTGTTCTTCTCTTCCAGATTGGTTCCATCACGGGGATCATCCTCATTGTGCTCATAGCTGTGGTTGGAGGAATACTGTACCAAGGTTCTTGGGTCATCAGTCCCAAACTGTGGATTATAGGAACAATATTTCCTATAGCCGGCTACTCCCTGGGGTTTATTCTGGCTAGAATAGCTGGTCAGCCTTGGCACAGGTATGGTGTTTTGGTAAATGGAATTAGGAATTTTCTTCTGTAGTGGGTGCCAACAGAAACAAGTTCAAAACTTTGGTACGATTTCTGAATAGATCATTCTAAGTAGGCTTATTCATTCGTAAATTATACAAATCCCCTACAAAGAAATCCCCTGTTTGCTCAGATTCTTCTTTCATGCTCATCCACTGCCAGGCATGCATCCCACTCTCTAAGCACAGTGACTTGGGTTGCAAAAGTATCTAGGTTGGCCTTGTAAAATAGAAGGGTTCCTTCACCCAGTAACGGGGAAGTCATCATCAAAAGGTGCTGAATATTAAAATTTGGGTTTGGTACTGAAGAAAAATATTTCTTCTCCTATTAGCACATATGAATCAATGGTCATTAAGAATAGCAGAAATTGGGAATGAGATGAGCAGAATTGGGCATTGAAAGAGGGGGGATATATGAGTGGGGGAGACCTGGGCTTGCATTCCTACCACGCTACTTACTGACTGTGGGACCTCAGGGTAGAAACTTACTCTTTCTCTGAGTTTTCTCATCTCTAAATTGGGATAACAATGGCTACTTTCAGACTTTTCAGGAGTAAATCAGAAGAACAAAACCAATTTAAACAAAAAACTACTACAAAGATCTTGATTCTTTGCTGCATGCCCGCTCTGTGCTCTGCACTTGTGACCAAGGTCATAATTTAAAAGGGTGAACTAAAGCCCCTTTGCATTTATGGAGTGCTGAAACAAATTATCCTGATCCACACATATTCGTTTATGTTCTCATTGGCAATCTCTGGGTTGTTCAAACCCACCCAGACATGCCTCAGAAGACAAATCTGGTGATCTACTCCTAAAAGGCCTTGAAAACTCTATGGAGCAGTTCTACCCTGTACACATGGAGTAACCATGCAACAAAATCAACTCAATGAAAGCAAACAACAGCATTTGTTCTCAATACACCTGTTTTCAATGTTATACAATAAAAACACCAACCGAAATACACCACCAGCAGCCATATCCTCTTACTATTTCTTTTAGGTGTCGGACAGTTGCTTTGGAAACAGGGATGCAGAATACACAGCTGTGTTCCACGATTGTACAGCTCTCCTTCACTCCTGAACAGCTCACTCACATGTTCACCTTCCCGCTCATCTACAGCGTTTTCCAGCTGGCCTTTGGAGCGCTATTCTTAGGCTGTAAGTGATAATGCTAATCACAGTTCATTATGATGTTCGTTTAGAAATCCTAGAGTTGTTTAAATGGAGTTTTTTCTTGTGTTGAGGAATAAATAAACGGGAGGTGAAAGCTACCTAACTACTGATAAAAAGTTTGTAATTTTACAAAAATTTCTAGTGAAAATTGTACTTAAGGGAAAACTGATGGAGTTTGTTCTCGCCAGGGATTTTCTTTGCCTTTGTAATGAGGGGGGGTATTTTAAGCGATTTCAGTTGTTGTTAAGTACCATCAACTCGATTCTAAATCATAACAATCCTGTATAAAGTCTCCAAGGAGAAGCTGGTGGGTTTGAACCATCAATCTTTTGGTTAGCAGTCCAGTGCTTATCCTAGGACTCAATACTAACCCATTAAGGCCATTCTATTGTGTGCCTTCCTAAATGCTTTCAGGGATCCAAGACTGCCTTTTGGGGTCACTTGTTTTCAGAAGACAACCCAAAATAGTCTTGGTATTAAAACTCATGGATGGTACAGTTTGTAACACACTGGAATGTTAACCAAAAACATGGAGGTAAAAGTCCATGCCAAGGTAATTTGGAAGAAAGGCCTAGTAGGCATCTACTTCTAAAAAGCACAGACCTACTTAGACACACATGGGGTCACCATGAGTTGGAAAAGACTTGACGGCATTTATATCTTGTAAACTTAGAATATTTATCAGGAAATTTGTGTATATTAGACAGCAGACGTGTGCATAAACACACTTTTTAAAATATTCATATAATTGAAGAAGTTGAAACAAAAACCTTCTTTATTCAAAGTACTAGGGAAAGATACCCTGCTTCTTAGTTTGACTCTGCTGTAGAAGAGCGTAAAGCTTTGGTTCTCTCTCACTGGCATGTGTTGCCCTTAGCCTTTCCTGGTTTAAAGCTCTTCCCTAGATTTTCTTTTCCATGGACTAATGATATTTAACCTACATTTGTTATTCCATTTTTAATTTTAAAAACTACATGTTTTAAAACATAATGGAATTTTGAGGAAAATGTCTAGTGAGGATTCGATTCAAAAGTAATGTGAAATATTATGTTATAAAATGCCTGAAGACATAGGTTTTAGTTTTTGTTTTTGTTTTTCACTTTTTGACTTAGCTCCAATACTGAATTGAATAACTTGCCCTTGAGTCCTAATCATATGCTACATCAGTGTCTTCAATTTAACAATTGACACATGGCTCTCCTTTTTAGAATTGTTAGTGTTGTTAAGTGTCATTGAGTCAGTTCCGACTCATAGTGACCCTGCATAGGGTTTCCAAGGAGCAGCTGGTGGGCTTGAACTGCTGACCTCGCCGTTCAAACCAACCTTTGCAGTCCAGCACATTAACCCACAGTTCCACACTAGGACTCCCCTTTCTAGAATAGGACTTCTGAATCTGTTGGGAAAATCTCACTGATTTGCCACTAGCCCAGAAAACAAAAACCTATTGCCAAATAACCTCTATTTACATGCCAGAAGTGTACCCAAATTGATACATCTTAAGACTTTGCCAAATAATTAGTTTGTGAAATATAGTAGATAAATCAAATATAGTATACCATTTAATAGAACTATTTAATATATTTGCTAGTTGAAAAACTTACCCAAAAGTGATTGACTGATTGATTAGAAACCCAGTTGAAGGAATGGTGTACAGGAAGGCATTAGTACTGGTCTTGTCCTTTCCTAGATTTTATCAATAGTTTATATGAAAACAAGAAAGGTGTCTTTATTAAGTTTATACAATGCCTGGCAACGTATCTTTGTGACCTGATTAGAATTGTAATATATTTTGGAACAAAGAGGAAGGAAAGAAGGGATGGAGGAAGGCAGGGTAAAAATAAGATGTTCTCTTAAATAAAGATGTTTGCTTAAATAAAGTTGAGGGAGCTCCAGCTCAAAATTAGTTTATAATAAAAAGTATTGGAATGTTTTAATTGTCCATAAGTTATATTAAATTCAATAGTGTGACTCAGTGGTTTAAAACTAATATAGTAATAGAAATGCAGAGACCAATCCAAAGAAAATACTAAGCGAGGACCTTGTCTCTCTCAGTCCTCTATCATCCGGATAATTCACCTTTCCCGAACACTTACTATTTTCCACAGGTCACGCTAGGCACTTTACTGTTATTTATCATTGTAATGCTCACTGCTGTCCTATGAGAGACCCTGGGTTGTGGTTACTGTTAAGTCGAGTCAGTTCTGATTCATAGTGACCCTGTATAGGGTTTTCTGAGGAGGGCCTGATGAGTTTGAACCACCAACCTTGTGGTTCAAGCCAGTGTTGCGGTCAAGTGCTTATCCTATAGTGCCACAGCAGGACTCCATGAGAGTCTGTGGGTAGCAGACAGTTCATACAATTGGCTGCCAACTGAAAGGGTTGAAGGTCACCTCAGACTCCCAAGAAGAAAACCTGGGTGATCTACTTCCAAAAGGTCCCAGTCGGGAAAACCCTATTATATTCAGTTCTCTAAAACACATGTGGGTCTCCATAAGTCCCATTCAACTCTACACCAACTTTTTGTGTGTTTTTAACTGAGACAAAACTACAGTCATGGAGTCAATTCCAACTCATAATCATCGTAGAGGACAGAGTAGAACTGCTCATAGGGTTTCTGCGGCTGTAAATCTTTGCAGAAGCAAACTACATCTTTCTCCCATAGAACAGCTGGTGGGTTCAAACTCTGACCTTTTGATTAGCAGACCAATACTTAACACCCTGTGCTACTAGGGATCCTTTATTATACAGATATTATTATACTAATTTTATAGGTGGCCTGGTATGGTGCTGTGGGTTAATGCACTGGACTGCAAAGTTAGTTTGAACTGCAAGGTCGGTGGTTCAAGCTCCTTGGAAACTCTATACAGAGTCGCTGTGAGTTGGAACCGACTCAAAGGCACTTCACAACAATTGGAAATTGAAAAATAAGACCTTTTTCTTCCCCTGTTGAGTTTGGAAACAAGTGAGAAGCATGGAGGAGATCAGGTATTTAGATAACAAAATAGAATTTTACTATTGATGAATCAAAGTGCATAGTTGGAAGATAAACTTGTATTTGAAGTCAGTGGTCAGCCTTACACATATTCACAAAACAAATACACACACACACACATACTGCAGGTCTCTGCTTGGAAGGCAAAAATTGTCCAATTTAAGCTGACTTCAGGAGGAAACTGATAAATGGTTGCTACCAGAAACTAACAGCTCCACAGGAGACAGGAAGACTAATACCAATCAGCTAAGTCATTCCTTATCCCAAAATGAGTGAGCGTGGCAGAAGGCCTGAACTGTTGTTATTCTAGCTCAAGACAGCCCATAAAGGAACACGATGCCACTATTGTACCTAACAGGTGGTAATATTAACTGGGATATAGCATATCTATATATACCAAAATAAAGTGTTGTTGCTACCATTGTACCATTTGGTAGTGCTGAGTGGCTATCCTGAGTAAATATATTCAAGCATTGTATGCTGAGTCTCCTTGAAGTTCAGTCATGCTTCTTATCCATGGGTGGTTACAGAACCAAGAATGGTGAGTTGTTTCAGCCACCCCTTTCTCTAAATAGCCTCTAGTTCTACAAAAAAATGTGCACTGCTTCATGTATAATATTTAAAGTAACTTTGCAACTTACTACTATCAAATTTACTTAACTTTCTGTGTATTGTTTTCTAGTTTACATAGCATACAAGAAATGTTATGGGAAAAACAATGCAGAATTGCCAGAGATCGAAGACAGCAAAACAACATCGGAGTCATCACTCTATAAGATGAATGGAGGGTTTCAACCAGATGAGAAATAGAAGCCTGTGGACAAAGCAGGATTCTAAAGAACATTTTCCAACTATAACGATATTTATCTGTTTGTTTTGGTGAACTAGTTGGCAGGAAAAAGTAAAAGTGAAAATTTTAAATTCCAGTTGAATTTATATATGGATTCAGTACCAACTGACTGATGATCCATTTCTTTTATGTGACATATGTTTTTAAGATATATATGTGTATTTGTACATCTATATATCTATATATGTATATATAGACATAGACATAAATATATATACAATGTTATTGAGCTATGCCAAGAAAACGTCTGCATACTAAACCTGACAGAGGTAACACTGAGGACTTTGTAGGCCCTGAACTGAATTCTTCACCTAGAGATAAGCACCTTACTTATATATGCAGGGGAAAAAAGGTGGAATGAATTATTGTTAAGTGACCAAGATTTTCTCCACCATTTATGATTGCAAAAAGATAGACATGAAAGTCTTTCATCTACATCTAATCATTAATTTGAAAATTTTGCAACCTATTTATTTATATGGAGTCCTGGTGTGGCATTGTGTGCTCATGCATTAGGCTGTAAAGTCATATGAACTGCAAGGTTGGTGGTTCAAGCTCACCAGCTTCTCCTTAGAAACCCTATACAGGGTCGCTGTGGGTCAGAATTGACTCGACAGCATTTAACAATAACATTTATTTATATAACCTTGAGTACAACATGAGCAAATATACACCATGCTATATTTAACACCAAAACCTTCTATAGTTTCTTTATCACAAACAGAAATGGTAAAGAAGAGTTACTAAAGAGAAATCAAAAGCCAAATTGGAATTAGGTCTGTAACTCATCAGGGATACTGTACACCCACTGCTCTACCTCAAAGGTCCAGTGATGTCCACTTGATCTTTTAAGGAAAAATGGAATCCTTTCAAATTCTTTGACTTTGGTAAAACAGCTCTTCAAATCCTGTAGAGAGTTCTTCAGACTTATTCAGTACGAAGCAGGTCCATATTGGCTAATTTGACAACTAGTTAGTCCATACAAGACATCCACAGTAGAAATCATGGGGCAACAACGTGGCAAAAGACAAAAAGACAAAAGTATTGGAAGAAACAGTAAAACTCCAGTGGGGAAATGCAGCTGAATGTACAGTAAATAGAGATACATAGAAAAGAACAATATAAAAGAAGCCTACTTGAACTGTATAACCAGAGCCAATTAAGAATGCAACAGTAAGTAGTGATATGAGGAATCAAGTCAAGGAAGGGTTGAGAAAGTGAGTATTAAACAGTAAACAGTATTTGCAGAAGAAGAGGACCAGTCCCAGATCTAGAAAGTAAGAAGGGCATTGCCAGATGAGTTTCTAAGATGCTTGAAAAATATAACTACAGGAAACAAGGAGGATTTGCCGAATAGCAGCAGGATTTTGTGGCAAGACAACTGGTTAAATCTTGGATTTTCAATTAAGGTCTAAATTAATTTTCTTTATCTTGTTCTGGAGTAAGATATAAGAATATATAAGTCTGTTCTTAGAGGATTTCATGTTTCCCACTTGAACATTTGCAGTGTCTCATAGATCCTCTTTCAAATATTTTAGATCCAAATGATGTTTTACATTTAACTAATCTAGACTCTTGGTGTGGCACTGTAGGATCAACACTGGACTGCGAACCACAGGTCAGCAGTTCCAACCCACCAGCTTCTCCTCAGAACCCCTATACAAGATCGCTATGAGTTGAAGTCAACTTAACAACAACAATCTGAGTCAGATCTTGTCAGTGCATCTAAGCATTAAAGGAAAATGAATATAAACTTTTCACTTAGCTCTTTTAATGGACAGACAAGGGAATTCTACTTTTTAAAGTTGCAGCATGTATACATGTATACCTTTTTAATTCAAGGTACACATTAACAATTGAATAAAGTCCTCCTATTTTTCCACCATTAGACAAAATGAAGGGACTAGACATTTTTTCAAAGATAGTGGGACTAGACATTTTTCAAGGGTGGTACAGATTTTCCTCTTAGCTGGTGGTGGTGGTGGTTATGTGTCATGAAATCAGCTCCAACTCATAGCGACCCTGTAAATCTTTACAGGAGCAGAAAGCCTCATCTTTCTCCCATGGAACAGCTGGTAGTTTTGAACTACTGACCGTGAGGTTAGCAGCCCAACTTGTAACCACTCTTCTTTTTCCTCTTAGGTAGTAACCAAAAATAAGTTTCTTGCTGCAAAATGAAAACATTTAGTCTTTGAAGTACGTCCTACGTTTTCTTCTTCATGTGGTGCTAGTGAATAAGCACTGAACTGCTAACCACAAAGTCGGAGTTCAAATCCACCAACCACTCCTCAGAAACCCTATACAGGATCACTATGAGTTGTAATTGATGCAACAATACATAACAACAATAAGAACACATTTTCCTCATCAAACAGAAAACCGCTGTATGAAAAACACACTATGAATTCGTATCATAATTTTACACACCCAAAGTCCAAGACCAGATGCCAGCAGCTGTAGTAAACATTCTTTACCTCTTGTTGATCAAGATATCTGAATAAAACAGGACTGGACTTACATATTGTGGTATCTGATGAGCTGTGTTTTGTTTTTCTAATATACTAGAAAGAAGAAAAAATAGTGGAGGTTTTAAAAATAACTCGCTATTTGTAAATGAGTCGAAAACTGATTAAATTATATAATTTATTGTCTGTAGCATGTTAAATGAATATTTTATTTTAAAGCCTTGAATAAATGAAAATTATTTTGTAATGTTTGGTCTATTTGCATCCTTTGTGACAACTGTCAAGATTTCTTCTCTGTTCCTTTCCGGAAATATAAATAAGATAGAGTTTCTCAAATATTAAGTTGTTCTCTGAAAAATGCCTGAAAGAAAGTCCTAATTAAATACTCTTAATAATTAGGTCTCTCACTGATTGTGACTGAGGCATTCCAAAGAAAATCATACTGGGTGAACATTATTCAAAAACTCTTAAATCAACTGTGACATTAATACCTGATTTAAAATAACAGAAGCATTCTTTACATGTGCTTAGAAATAATACCAGCACAAGCTATGTTCTACACAAAAGTATTTTTATATATTTTTTATATATATATGAGTTGGTTCCAACTCATAGAGAGCCTAAATAGGGTTTCCAACACTTCATGGGAGAAGAAAGCGTCATCTTTCTGCTATAAAGTAGCAAGTGGGTTTGAACCACCGCCCCTGTGGTTAGAAATTCAGTGCTTCTCCTACCACTTCAACAGGTCTATATACACACATGTTGTTGTTAAGTGTCTAAGAGTTGGTTCCAACTCATAGCAACCCTGTATAGGGATATTTTGAGGAGTGGCTAGTGGGTTTGAACTATTGACCTTGAATTAGTAATTCAGTGTTTATTCCACAGCACCACACCAGGACTACTATACATATTTATTGCTGTTGTTGTTGTTAGGTGCCATTGAGTCAGTACTGACTCGTAGCAACCCTATGCACAATAGAATGAAACACTGCTTGGTCCTGGGATAACCTCATGATCGTTACTACACCTGAGCCCATCACTGCCGCCACTGTGCCAATCCATCTTCTTGGGGGTCTTCCTCTTTTTCTTCGACCCTCCACTTTACCAAACATGACATCCTTCTCCAGTGACATGTCCCTCCTGATATTATGCCCAAAGTATGAGAGATAAAGTTTGGCCATCCTGGCTTCCAAGGAGCACTCTGGCTGTACTTCTTCCAACATATATTTGTTTGTTCTTTTGGCAGCCCATGGTACTTTTAATATTCTCCACCAACACCATCACTCTTCTATAGTTTTCCTTATTCACTGTCCAACTGTCTCATTCTAATAAGGTTATTGAAAATACCATGGCTTGGGCCAGGCACACCTTACTCCTCAAACTGACATCTTTGCTCTTTCTTCAATGCTTGAAAAAGGTCTTGTGCAGCAGATTTGCCCAGTGCAATACATCATTTGGTTTCTTGATTGCTGCTTCCATGAGTGTTGATGGTTGATCTGAGCAAATGAAGTCTTTGATAACTTCAATCTTTTCTCCATGTATATAGATATTGTTTATTGGTCCATTAGTGAGGATTTTTGTTTTCTTTATATTGCAATGCAACTCATACTCAAGGTTGTGGTCTTTGATCTTGATCAGTAAGTATTTCAAGTCCTCTTCACTTTTAGCAAGCATGGTTGTATCATCTGCAATCGAAGACTGTTAATGAGTCTTCCTCCAATCATGATGCCACATTTTTCTTCATATAATACAGCTTCTCAGATTATTGCTTAGCATACAAATATATACTTATATATGTATCTGTATATATAATATACAATATATATAATATATACAGTATATATAATATACAGTGGTGGAATCATTTGGGAAATCTTAATGGTGATGGTTACACAACATGACAAACATAAGCAATGTCACACACACAAAAAAAAATTGTAAATTAGTAAAAGTGTTATTATGTTGTTCTTGTTAAGTGCTGTCAAGTTGGTTCTGACTCATAACGACCTTGCATATAGTTTCCAAGGAGCTGCTGATGGTTTCAACAAATGACCTTGTGGCTAGCAGTCCAGTGCTTATCTTACAGTGTCACACCGGAACTCAATGAATTTTGTTACATATACTGAAAGCTTTTACATCTATATATATATAGATATATAGATATACATACATACATACATACATGTTACCAGTTTGAGTCCACCAGCCACTCTGTTGTATATATGTATACATATGCATGTATGTGTGGCTCTGGTATCTTAGTGGGTTACTAGTTGGACTGCTAACTAAAAGGTCAGCTGTTTGAAACTACCAGCCACTTCATGAGAGACAGTATGGCTTTCTGCTCCCGTGAAGATTCACAGCCTCAGAAACCCGATGCAGGGTTGCTATGAATCAGAACTGACTCCACTGCACCTCACCACCACCACTTGTTGCTTAGTAGGTCATGAGTTAGGCTGCTAACCGAAAGGTCAGCAATATGAATCTGCCAGCCA